TGGTCAAATTTATTAGGGCTATAGCCATGGTCCCTTAGTCAGATTCAGGACACACAGCCCTGAGGGGCAGCTTAAACTAGTTTATAAAGGCAAAAAACACAAATGCCACTAGAATTTCATCACACATGAGTAATGCCAAACGGTCCTAAGTAGGGTCAGGATGGCTCAAGTTAGCAGATAAGCAAACTACAGAAGCCAGAACAAGTTTTGTTAGTCCTTCTCTTAACAGATGAGAAGGACTCTCTTCTCTTGAGAGTAAGGAACTTCCTGATTACTGTTATGGAGCTTGAAACCACTGGAAAAAAAAGACCGCCAGACTCAAGTCAAATTTTAATTGGTCAAATTTATTAAGGCTGTAGCCATCGTGGTCCTGAAGTCAGAGTCAGAACCCATGGCCCCAAGGGGAGGGTGAAACTAGCTTATAAAGGCAAAACCACAAATACCATAGGAATTTCATCACACATGAGTAATGCCAAATGGTCCTGAGTATGGTCAGGATGGCCCAAATTAGCAGATAAGCAAACTAGAGAAGCCAGAACAAGCTTGTGTTAGTTCTCTTAATAGAGACCTTGACAATAAGGCACTTTATTATTCAGGCTTCTTGGCTAGACAAGAAACACAGCTGCAGTGTCTGGGAGGTGACCAAGGTCAGGTACCTCAAAGAAAGCACTCTTCTAAGGGGAAGTGTTGGATAAATGCGTCCTTCGAAGAAAAGAGGGGGTGGGTCTAGACACCTAGAGAGAAGTGGAGCACAATGGGAAAAAGGGGCGGCGCTGCCAACACGTTGAGCACAGACGGACAGTGAGGGAGAGAGACTGGGGGCAGGAGATAGATGGCATGTGCAGTTCAAATATGGAAAAGGAAAAGCCTATAAGAATCCGTGTTTTTGTATGTCACCCCCTCCCAAATGTCATATAAACTATGCAAAATCCAAATAGAATGTCTTATGTTGGTTTGTCAATCCGTGTCAGGACTGGGAGACCCTAGAGTCCTTAGAGGGCATGCGCAGGTCCTCCCAGGGAGGGAAAAGGGAAACATTTAGTGAAATAGGAAGCAACTAAGTTCAGGCACTCAACCTTAAAGCTGGCTGTTTTTCTAGATTTTGAAGTTTAAAATAGCTGCACAAAGTCAAATCTCAACCCCTTTCCCGCGATCTCCAGAGGTGGATGAGTGTCTTTCTATGCTGCCCATGTTGATATCAAAGTCCTGGGCTCAAGCAATTCTCTTGCCTCAGCTTCCCAAGTAGCTGCTATAGGGATATACTGTTAAGAGTCCAGGTCTGCAACAATCCTCCCCCAGTGCAGTAAAGCCTAGCAAGACAAGGCCTCTCAAAAACAGGAGTTCAGTTTCAACACAGTCTGTTTTCCCCTAGATAAATTTAGAAGATAAACAGGACCCTGCACCCATGACCCAATTGTTGCAAGAGCTGTCTCCGTTCTAGCTGCCTCCCCCTGATGTTTCACAATGTATGACTCCTGCCTCCCTTTGAAACTGTTTTCCTGAAGGCAGCTGCATCTGCCCTCAGTCATTCTCTACCCTCTATCCCCTACCCGCTATAAACACCTCCAGCCAGCAGCCTGCAAGCTGGTGGCTTCCTCACTCTAGGGCTGAGAGCCATCCGATGTGCTCACCAAATAAACCCTGCCCTGCTGGAGTTCTTGTCTATGTCTCAGTGATTTCTCCTGATTTACCTAACACATACCGCAGCAACTAACTTTTGATTCTCAGTTTTCATGATGATTATGTATTACAAAGTCAAAGTGAACATCAAATTGATGAACACCAAACTGATGAACACCAAATCATTACTCTTTCAGTAAATACCAGATTAGATTCCTGAGACTGTCTAGTCACATTTTTGTAAACCAATCAATACAAAATCTTTATTGGTTTAGGTACAAAAGAATTGTTTATTATCTACTGATTTATTAACATTGAAAGCAAGGCCAATAGCTCTTTAACTCCTGTTTGAAGTATGTTTATCTAACATAGATATTTTCTTTATAAGGTTTCCCACCAAGCCTTCGTGCATCTAGGAATACTATGAAGAACTTCAGCACTAAGCTTGGGGTCAATTTTAGAACACCAAAAGCATAAAAATGCAAAAAAAGGGAGGAGGTATAGAATCATTAAGTAGATTGTGTAAAAAGCAGTTGTTTACAAGTGCTGGATCAAGAAGGTGCCCTATATTAAACCTCACCTACCCACGGCTCAGGGACCACTGGGAAAGAGAGGGCAGGAAGATTGGGTGAGCCAGAGTTGGTGCATGAACATACGGAAACAGGCTTTCATGCCTCTGGGATCTTGCACATATGCACTTACAGCAATGGTGACGGCATGCAAAAGACCCATGCTGACTCCAACAAAAAGCTAGTATAGATGGGGGAAATGGGCAGCAGGCCCTAACCCTAGCCCAGGAACTTTTGGCAACTGATTATTGTGGGATGAGGGAGAGTAGATCTTCTCTAAGGGAGTGACTCTAGATAAACTGACTAGACTCCAGAGGATGAACTTGCACTGAGGGACATCTGGGTACAAACGCTTGATCTGATAGGACTTAACATATATGATCGAATGCATGAAATCCAGTGGGGGACATAGGGGTGGCACAGATGAAAGAGGGGGTCTAAATTTGATTAACATCTATTATATGAAATGCACAAAACTCAATAAAAAAATTTAAAAAAAGGTGTCCTAGGGGTTGGAGAGATGGCTCAGTGGTTAAGAACACTAGTTGCTCTTGCAGAGGACTCGGGCTCAGTTCCCAGCACCCACAGGGTGGCTAACATCTGTCTATAACTCCAGGTACTGACTTGCAGAGGACCCGGGTTTGATTCCCAGCACCCACATGGCAGCTATGAATCGTCCTTAACTCCAGTTCCAGGAGAATCCGAAGCTCTCTTCTGACTGAGGCATTGTATAACACAGGTGCACTCACATACATGCAGGCAATACACTCATACACATAAAATAAAAATAATAAAATAAAATATTAATTAGTTCTACTTCACCTGAGGCTATGGCTTTGGGTAATGCAAATTGTTTTTCACTCCAAGTATTGACTTTGGAGTCATGAATAAATTTGAGTAGGCATGCTGACAAATACAGAATCTTCAAATAACAAGGAACAGGCTATATCTAAAGAAACAATTCAGAAGAATTAAGTTGAGCAGTTTATTTGAACAAGGAATTATTCACAAGCCAGAGACCATTCATAATCAAAAGAGATTCAGAGGGTCCACCTTTCCAACATGGGCAGTATTTACAGACAGAACAACTGAAGGAAAGTACAGAAATATTTATAGGCAGGCAGTTGCCTTATTTGGATATGGCCTGAATATTTGGCAACCTGTGATTGGCTGATACAGTCATGCTAGATTTATTTATTTATCAGTTCATTCATTCATTCATTCATTCATCTCACTATGCAGTCCTGGCCAGGAACTTGCTATGTAGATCAGGCTGGCTTTGAACTCATAGAGATCCACCTGCCTCTGCCTCCTGAGTGCTGGGATTATAGATGCTTCCTGCCATGCCTGACTTTTTTTCTTCTTTTGTCTTTTTTTCTTTTTTTTTAATTTTTTTGAGACAGGGTCTCCCTGTAGCCCCAGCTGTCCTGGAATTCACTATGTAGACCAGACTGACCTTGAACTCACAGAGATTGGCTGCCTCTGCCTCCCCAGTGCTGGGATTAAAGGCATGTGCCACCACGCCCTGCTTTTTTGGGTATATTTGAGACAGGGTCTCCCTATGGCCCCAGCTAGCCTGGAACTCGCTTTGTAGACCAGGCTGAGCTTGAACTCACAAAGATTGGCCTGCCTCTGCCTCCCAAGTGCTGGGACTAAAGGTGTGTGCCACCATGCCTGGCTCATGTCTTTTAAAAAAAAAAATTTTTTTTTATTACTCTGTGTGTGTGTGTAGCTGTGTATGGAGGTTAGGCGACCAATTTGTAGAGTCATTTCTCTTCCACCTTTACATGGGTTCTGGGGATTGAATTTGGGTCTTAAGGTTTGTGTGGCCAGTACCTTCGCCCAGTGAGCCATCTTCTTGACTCTCATGTTGGGTTTTAGTTGACCATGTATTAAGCTACAGTTCCTTAGATAGGAATTCAGTATACAAAGACAACCTCAGGCCACTGACCTACTGCTTACTTAAATTATATACATGTTATATATATAATATATATTATTATATTAAGTACTTAAAGCAGGGTGTAGTGATGCATGCATGTAATCCCAGCTTTTGGAAGGTGGAGGCAGGAGGATCAGGAGCTCAAGGCCATCTCTGCTACACAGTTCAAAACGAGCCTGGGGGGGGGGGTCAGGAAACCCTGTCTCAAAAAGAAAAACAGAAAAAGAAGAAAAAAAAAGAACTTAGGACTCTGTTTCTATTATCTGGTTTTGGTTTAAAAAACCACATCATTTCAGGTTAGGCTGGGTGTGGTGGGGCATACTTTAATACCAGCACTCAGGCGGATCTCTGTGAGTTTGAGGCCAATCTGGTTTACATAGTAAGTTCCAGGTCAGCCAGAGCTATATATTGAGACCTTTTCTCTCTCTAAGAAATTTTTAAAAAAATTAATAAAATAAATCCCGTTTAAAAAATGGTGCATGGCTCTGGAAAGAAGCTGATCTTTCTTTCTCTTTTAAACGAATCTACATGTAAAATTCTCCTTTTATTGGCGTCCACCGTGCTTTACTTAGCTCACGGACTGACGCCTCACTAACAGATACAACAGAACGTTTCCAACACTCAGAATCTCTCAGTCTTGCGCGTTTCCCTACAGTCAGGCCCGCACCCCAGGCCTCCTCTCTCTAACCTAAGCACAGGACCAAATGCTGAGAGAGGCTGGGGCGGGCTACGGAGACTTCCCTTGCGTCCTGGAGAACACGCCCCCAAACCCATTGCGCAAGCGCAGACGCCTTTGCGTCCCACCATCTTCGGGTCCGCCATCCCAGGCCCCGCCCCTGACGCTCAGGTCCCGCCCCTGACGCTCAGGTCCCGCCCCTGACGCTCCCCGGGAAGTACTCTACCCCGGCAGAGGCGGGCTGTTCTTGTCCCTCCGGCGCTGCCATGCCTTCGCCCTCGTTGAGGTCCTCGCGCCTGCGGCAGGTGTTTGTGGTCGGGGTTGGCATGACCAAGGTAAACAGAACAGGCCGTCCTGGTCTGCGCCGCTGCCCCTCCTGCCCGGAGGCGACTTGGGGTGTATGGCGGCGTCTCCTGGGATGCAGGGTCTCGGGCTTGTTGCTGTGGCAACACCCCCCCCCTTTTGTCCTTCCCTTTTCTACCTGGTTGGAGTTTTCCAAGCCCCCCTCCCCAGGATAACCTGAGCTCACACTACCTTTGATCCTAAATCCCACGGTAACCGGGGCATGGTGGCCCACGTTTGTAATCTGCTCATTTAAGAGGCTGTCAGGAGAACTGCAGCAAGTTCGAGGCCAGCCAGGGCTGCATAGCAAGGCCTCATCTTGATAAATAGAACGAAACCCCTCCGTATGTGGAGCTTGGGCAGGTGCCAGCGATGTCTCACAACCAAAGGAAACCGGAGTGAGTTCCAGGACAGCTGGGGCTACAGAGAGACCCTATCTCAAAAAGACAAAAAAAAAAAAAAAATTTTTTTTGTATACGTAATGCCTGCATGTAGGTAGGTGCACCTATGTCATGCAATAACTGCAGAGGTCAGAAGAAAGTGTTGAATTCCCTGGAACTGGAGTTATAGACGGTTAGCTGCCATGTGGGTGGTAGGAATCAAACCTGGGTGCTTTGCAAGAGCAGCCAGTGCTCTTAACTGGTGAGCCATCTCTTCAGCCCAAAGTACAAGACTAAAAAATATTTATTATTATTATTATTATTGCAATAGGGGCTCACCCTGTAGCCTTGGCTGGCCTGTAATTCACTATGTTGACCCAGCTGGTCTGGAACTCACAGAGCTCTACCTGCCTCTGCTTCCTTTGTTCTGGGATTAAAGGTGTGCGCCACTCACATCTGGCTTTATTTTCAGTTATGTGTGTCTTGGTGGGAGCTCATGAGTGTAGGTGCCTGCAGAGGCCAGAAGAGGGCATTGGTTCCCTTGGAGCTGGAGTTAACAGATGGTTGTGAGCTGCCTGATTTGGTGCTGGGAGCCAAACTTGGGTCCTCAGGCAAGAGCCGTATATGTTCTTCACCACTGAACCATCTCTCCAACCCCCAAAGCACAAGATTTTATTATCATAGATTATGAAAAGTTAATTGCTATGGTTCCAAATTCCACATTGCAAATAATCTTAATGTAATTTCCACTTAACTTTTATTTAGTATGAAAAAGGAATATTTAGGACTGGGGGTGTGGCTTAATGGTAGAGTGCTTGCCTATCATGCATGCATCAAAGCCCTCGGTTCAATCCCTAGCACCTTCCGGAACAAGGAATAAAAAGAATAGGGCTGGAGAGAGAAGGCTTAGCATCTAAAAGTGCTTGCCGCACACAATTTGGATCCCTAGCACACACAGAAATGCTGGGTGGATGTGGTGACTCACCTGTAATTTCACCCTCAAAAAGCAGAGATGGGATTTCTCACAGCAAGCTGGCTAGCAAGACTATCTATATTTGGATTTGATTGAGGGACCCTGCCTCAGTGAATAAGGTAGAAGAATGATAGAGGATGATTTCCAGCATCAACCTTAGGCCTTCATGTGCATGAGCACGTACACACACATGCCCACATACATACAAAGACATGCATACCACATACACATGAAAAATGAAAAAAATGTATATTTAATATGTGTACTTGTGTTTCTAATTATATAGCTATATTTCTGTTGGTGTGAGGTCAGATTTACTTCATAGATTTTAACTAAATCAATGAAAAACTGAAGACTAAGATGAAGATTTGAATGAAACATCAGATATGAATTCAACTGTCTCCTATTAAACCAGATATTAATAAGAAAAAGAGCAATGAGGGGCCAACAAGATGGCTCAGTGGGTAAAGGTGCTTGCTGCCAAGTCTGGTCAACTGAGTTAGATCCCTAGGACCCACATGGTAGAAGGAGAGTAATGACTCCTGCAAGTTGTCCTCTGGCGCATGTATTCCAGATCATATGCATGTCCTCACACATATACGTAAGTAAATAAATGTAATAAATTAAATAAATGCTAAGCAGTGTCACTACTTTTTTGTGTATGAAATGCTTAGGACAGTGAATACCACAAGTAAGCTCTGTAATAAATATTTGTTACTATCTCTTGGTCCTGTTACTTTTATGTCTTTATGTTACTTTTTATTGTGCTTGAGATAGGCGTGGTGGTGCATGCCTTAATCCCAGCACTCAGGAGGCAGAGGCAGGTGGATCTCTGTGCGATCCAGCTCAGCCTGGTCTATATATATCAAGTTCAGGCCAGCTGGACCTAGAGGGAGATCCTATCTCAAAAAGAAAAAATTGTGCTTTAAAAACTATTATGTCTGCCTGTAGTCCTAGCAGTTGAGAGGCAGAGGCAGGTGGATCTCTGTGAGTTCAAGGCCAGCCTGGTATACATAGTGAGTTCCAGTCCAGCTGGGGCTGCAGGGAGACCCTGTCTCAAAAAGACCAAAAAAAAACCAAAACCAAAACCAAAAACCCTATTATGTCTATTTATAGTTATTCTACAGATAAAAATGTGCCATAATTCTCTCATTTCCTTTCCCTCTTTTACTTGACTAATTCCTGCTTATCCTTAAGGACTTAATTGTAAAAGTGGTGCTGATGAGATGATTTGGCTTGTAAAGTAACCTGCCGCCAAGTCTAGCGACTTGAGTTCAATCTAAAGGAGACAACTGACTCCTCTAAATTGTCATCTGCATGCAGTGGTACATGCTTGCATGTGTGTACATATATGCACTATCCTAGTTTGTTTCTCCATTGCTGTGACAAAACACTCTCACCAATACCAACTTGGGGAGGAAAGGGTCTATTTAGCTTACATATCCCAAATCACAGTTCATCCAGGAGCCCAAGGTAGGAACTCAGGGCAGGAACCTGGAGGCAGGAGCTGGAGCACAGGCCATGGAGGAAGGCTGTTTACTGGCTTGCTCCCTTGGCCCCTGCTCAGCCTGCTTTCTTATGCAACACAGGGCCACCTGCCCAGGGGTGGCACTACCCACAGTGGGCTGGGCCTTCCCACATCACACAACAATCAAGATGCCCCACAGACAGGGCCACAGGGGAGGCAATTCTCCGATGGAGGCTCCCTCGATCCAGGTGTGTCAAGTTGACACTAAAGCTATCCAGCACATGCACACATAAAATAAATAAATGTAAAAAATAAAAACTTTACTCTGGGAAGCCTTTCTTATTCTGTCTCCTAAACTGGTAGATGTCTTTCCCGAATTCTGTACTCATGACATTAGTGTAATTGTCTAATTTACATTAGATTGGAATCATAAGAATCATTTCATCACAGCTTTAACATACTCAATAACAATTTCCAGAGCAAAGATACATCTCTTTCAAAAGAGGCTATAAAATTTTTAGGTTCACTATTGAATTAGTACAGTTATACAATATTGAACTCAGTATAAACCCTATAAGACATAAAATTGAATGAGTTTTTAACCTTTAAAAAAGACCTCTGTTTCATTTTAAAATATACTATTTCTTACAGAAAGACATTGTTTTTGTTTAAGGGCAAGGAATATATGTTACTCATGTTCAGAGTAAAGGAACATGACAGATGCTCAGTAGTATATGTATATATGTATACATTTTAAAAATTATTATTTGTGTGTGCATAATATGTGTGTGTGCATGCCAGTGTGCTTGTACTATGTCATGCTTGTATGGAGGTCAGAGGACAACCTATGAAAGTCAGTTCTCTCCTTCCTCCGTGGATTGAACTGGGGATTCAATCTGGGGATTGAACTAAGGTTGTCAGGCATGTACAGCATTGTACTTGCTGCCCCCCCCTTTTTTTGTAATTATTTGAGACATGGTCTTAGTATGTGGCCCTGGCTAGCCTAGAACTCGCTATGTGCATCAGACTGGCTTTGAATTTCCAGAGATCGTCCTGTCTCTGCCTCCCAAGTGCTGGGATTAAAGGTATGTATTATCATGCTCAGCCTTAACTTTATTTTTAATTACATGTATATGTGTATGTGGGTGTATGTGGGGGTATGTGCACATGAATGCAGGTGCCTGCAGAAATCAGAATAGAGTGTTAGGTTTCCTGGGGCTGAAGTTACAGGTGATTGATTGTAAGCTGCCTGATGTGTACTGGGAGGGAATTGGGTCCTCTGGAAGAACAGGAAGCTCTCATAAGTGTGGAGTGCTCCAGCCCTTTTTTTGTTTTTGAAACAGGGCTGGCCTAGAATTTGGTATATAGCAGGCTTCCTGCTGTGATTACAGACCTTGGCCACCATGTTTGGTTTATGTGGTGCTGGGGATTGAACCTAGGGCTTTGTGCATGCAAGGCAAGAACTCTGCATACTTAGCTATATCTCTAGCCCCGTAGTATGTTTTTGTTGAGTTTCTGAGATGCTCTGTTGTAAAACAAAACAAAACTCTGTGCTTGTTTCTATCTTCTGTATTCCAGTTCATGAAGCCCGGAGGTGAGAATTCAAGAGATTATCCTGACTTGGCAAAGGAAGCAGGTAATAGAAAAAATTCAGCTCTTTGAACATTCATAATTATTGTGTGCCCTTATTCCCTGAGTGGAGCAATCTTGCAAGTACAAAAGGTGAAGCACTGTCAGGGGCATGGTGGAAAAGAGAAGAGAAAGACACGTGGGCACCCTTAGCTCTCTAGTTAGAACAGACAGCAGCAAATGATTTCAACCGACATTCAGTTGTTTGTTGGGACAGTGGCCTAGTTAGCTTTAATTGTCAACTTGACACAGCTAGAGTCACCTGAGAAGGGTGCTTGGCCTGTTGGCATGTCTATGGGGGATTGTCTTGATTGTTAATTGATGTAGGAGGACTCAGCCCACTGTGGGCAGCACCATTCCTTGGCCATGTGCTCTGTGCTGTATAAGAAAGCTAGTTAGGCTCCTTCATTCCATGAGAAGTTGCTAGGCACAGTCCTAGGCAGCTCCTTCCAGTTCCTGCTAGCTTATTGATGCATGTCCTGGTTACTTTCTATTGCCATGATAAAACACTGGCCAAAACCAAGGTGAAGAAGAAAGGGTTTATTTTCATCTTACACTTCTAAGTGACCATCATCAAGGAAGCCAAGGCAGGAACGAAAGCAGAGGCCATGGAGGAACACTGCTTACTGGCTTGTTTCCCCTGGCTTGCTCAACTACTTTCTTTATGCAGCTCAGGTACACCTGTCCAGGATGGCACTGCCCATAGTGGGCTGGGCCCTCCCACATCAATTAGCAATTAAGAAAATGCCCCATAGACATGCCCATAGGCCAGACCAATGGTGATAATTCCTCAGTTGAGGTTCCCTCTTCCCAGGCGTGCCAAGGTGAGGTGTGTCACCTGAAGCTAAGCAGCACACTGGAAAACCCCCAGAGAGTTTCTGTGGTTCTTCCTTAGATACCCCTGCTTATTTCCAGGAGTACCTTGTGTACCCAGAGCATGGATATGTATATTTTACCTCAACTTAATATGCAACTCAATATTAGATATTATACAATAAGTCAGAGTATCTAATCACCCATCCCCTAAAAGGAAGGTTAATGAGATGTGATTAATTACTGTTGTTTCTCAGGGCAGATACTGTTTCCTTAATATGTCTGTGTTGATGGACATTTTTCTCTTGACCAATGTTTTCTCTTATATATATATATATTTTGGTCTTTTTGAGACAGGGTCTCCCTGTAGCCCCAGCTGGACTGGAACTCACTATGTAGACCAGGCTGGCCTTGAACTCATAGAAATCTGCCTGCTTCTGCCTCCCAAGTGCTGACACTAAAGGCATGTGCGTCTTTTAAATTAAAAAAAAAAATGTGTGTGTGTGTGTGTGTGTGTGTGTGTGTACGTACTTGAGTGCAAGTGCCAATGGTAGAGTGCTTTCCTACCATACACAAGACCATGGATTTGATCCCCAGCATCACCCCCCTTTCAAAAAATGAGTTCAACCATATGTTTAATCTGAAGCACTCCTCAGACCATGTCAGTGAATTTTATTGGAAAGTTTATTCAAACACAGTTTGGAAATTATGAGTTGTGAATTGTTTTAGGATCATATTCTTTTTAAAAATATTTTATTTATTATTTTTTTATGTGTATGAGTATTGCCTGTATGTAAGTATACTTATGTTGTACAATACTTAAGGAGGTCATAAGAGGACATTGGGTCCCCTGGAACTGGAGTTACAGGTGGTTGTTAGCCACCATGTGGGTGTTGGGAATTGAACATGGGTCCTCTGCAAGAGCAGTCAGTACTCTTAACTGCTGAGCCATCTCTTCAGCCCCCAAAGGGATCATATTCTTCATATTCTTTTTTTTTTGTTGTTTTTGTCTTTTTGAGACAGGGTATCCTGTATCCCCAGCTGGCCTGGAAGTCGCTATGTAGACCAGGCTGGCCTTGAGGCCTTGAACTCACAGAGATCCGCCTGCCTCTGCCTTCTAAAGGCGTGTGTCACCATGCCCAGTTTTTTTTTTTTTTTTGGTTGTTTGAGACAGAGTCTCACCACATAGCCCTGGCTGGCCTCGAACTCACTCTGTAGACCAGGTTGGGCTTCAAACTTGTGAGGATATTACTGCCTCTGTCTCCTGAGCATTTACATTACATTTTTTCACTTTTCATGTGTGTGAGTGGTATGAATGTGTGTGTGTGTGTGTGTTTGTATGCATGTGTATGTGCTCATCCACATGAGTGCGTGTGCATGTAGAGGCCTGAGGTTGATGTTGGGAATCTTCCTCCATTGCTCTTCACCTTATTCACGGAGATAGGGTCTCTCAATCAAACCCAGAGCTTGCAGATATGAATAGTCTTGCTAGCTGTCTTGCTCTGGGGATCCTCTGACCCCACCTTCTGAGGCTGGAGTTAGAGACTGGCCACTATGCCTGCCAATTTAAGTGGGTTTCTGAGGATTTAAGCTGGAGTCCTCATACCTGTGTGCTTATGTGGCCAGCGCTTTAACCACTGCTACATCTGCCCAGCCTGCAACATAGGTAGGTTTCCCTCTCTCCCTCCCTCCCTCCATCCTCTTTCTTTTCTTTTCTTTTCTTTTCTTTTCTTTCTTTCTTTCTTTCTTTCTTTCCCCCCTCCTTTCTTTCTTTCTTTCTTTCTTTCTTTCTTTCTTTCTCTTTTTTTGAGACATGGTCTTGCTGTATAGACCAGGCTGACCTTGAATTCACAGAGATCTGCCTGCCTCTGCCTCCTGAGCACTGAGATTAAAGGCCCCTGCTACTAACATTTTAAAAATGTTATTGGATTAATTTTCTTCTAGAATTGGACAGCACCTCATTTTATAAATAAAACAAGTATTTCCTTGTATCCTAATTTTTAAATTTTATTATTATGGGCTGGAGAGATGGCTCAGTAGTTAAGAGTACTTGCAGCTCTTGCAGAGGATCCAGGTTGAGTTCCCAGCACCCACAGAACAGCTAATACAGTCTTTAATTCCACTTCTAGGGGATCTGATGCTCTCTTCTGGCCTCTGAGGGAATAGCATGCCATGGGTGTACTTACATACATGCATGCAAAACACTCATATACATAAAATAAAAATAAAAAACATTTAAAAACCCTTATTTTATTATGAGTCATTTCATTTGTTCCTTAAATTTGTTTGGGAAAAATTAAATTTATCATAATTTTGCTATAATTCTTTTTAGAGGTTTAGGTTCCTGACTTGGATATTTCAGAGTAATTATAGTGAACATATTGCTAAATAATTGTTCTCATTGGTTATTTTTAAGATGGAGCCTAGAAGTCCAATTATTTTCACTTACAGCCTCACTGGCAACATATGAAACTGCTCTTTTTTTGTGTGTGTGTGTGTGACAGGGTTTTATATATCCTAGGCTGGCCTCAAAGGTACTGCGACCTTGAACGCTGCCTCCCTGAGTGCTGGAATTTCAGGCATGTGCCACCCTGCCTGGTCTATGGAGTGCTCAAGATCAAGCAGGGCCTTCTGCATGCTAGCTGCATATCTAGCTCCCCAAACTTCATTTCTTTTCTTTTTTAAAAGATTTTATTTTTATTTTTAATTATGTATGTGTGGGGGTATGTACATATGAGTGCAGGTGCCTGCAGAGGCCAGAGGCATTGGATCCCCCAGGAGCTGGAATTATAGGTACTTGTGAACTGTTCAGTGTGGTTGGCTGGGAACTGAACTCAGGTCCTTGGGAAGAGCAAAAGTGCTTTAACCGCTGAGCCATCTCTCCATCCCAAACCCTCATTCCTTGTTCCATAGACAGGATCGTCAGTTGGTTCTGGTTTTGTGAAATTAGTACTTACTGCTGACTGACCCCAGCAATGACATTCTATTCCATTATTCCCTCTAAATGTGCGATGGAGACACAGAAATGAAAGTGAAAAGGACTTTGCCATTAAGGAAATCTAAGAGCTACGTGTGGTGGCTCATACACGTAATCCCAATACTTGGGAGGATTGCCATTAGTTCAAGGCCATCTGGGCAACATAGTGGGTCCCTGGTCAGCCTAGGCTATAGAATGAGACTCAAAAAACTGAACAATAAAAAAACAAAGCAAAAATCAAACAAAAATTCGGCTTAAAGGCTTTTAGTAGGCACTGGCTCAGTTAGGGTGCTTTCCCTAGTATCTGTGATGCTCTGGGTTCGAGCGCCAGTACCACATAAACTGGATGTGGTGGTGCACGCCTGTAATCCGGGCATTGGAAGGTGGAAGCAGAAGGATTAGAGAGGTTCAAGGTCATCCTTAACTACATAGTGAGTTATAGGCCGGCCTGGGCTGCATAATACCCTGTCTCAAAAAAAAAAAAAATTAAAAAGACTTTTAGAATTTAATATGCTTATTTAGGGGTGCAGTTAGGACAGAAAGTGCTAAGTATTGAAAAGAAGACATGGAAAAGTGATGTAGCTTAGAAGAAAAATGAGTACTTCTAAAGGAGTGATCTAAACTGATAGTCTTTTTTTTCATTTGAGTTGAACAGGCACCATAGAAGTGACTTTTGTCTGAGAAACTGAATTTTACTCACCTAAAGTAACTATGTAAAATAGTTTTTGATAAAATCCTTTTGTTTTGCAGGCCAGAAAGCATTAGCAGATGCACAGATCCCGTATTCTGCAGTGGAACAGGCATGCGTTGGCTACGTTTATGGTGCGTTGTAGACTGAATGCTCTAACGCATGTGAATGTTAACTCTCAAGACACAGAGCTCAGGGGTTACCTTTATGTGTTGGCACAGTATAATTTTTCTTATCATTATTGTATTATCAAAACAGGAGATAAGTTAAAAAACATTTTTAGGGGTCATTGAGAATGGTTCAGTGGGTAAGGGCTTTTTTACAGCACTTAAAAGAAATATTTCTTAGCCGGGTGTGATGGAGCATGCCTTTAGTCCCAGCACTCGGGAGGCAGAGGCAGGCAGATCTCTGTGAGTTTAAGGCCAGCCTGGTGTACATAGTGAGTTCCAGGCCAGCTAGGGCTACAGGGAGACCCTGTATATATATATATGTATAATAGGGGCTAGAACTCAGTGGTTAAGAGCACTGGCTGTTCTTGCAGAAGACCTAGTTTCAAATCCCAGCACCCACGTGGTGGCAAACAACTGTCCATAACTCCAGTTCCAGAAGATCCGATGCCTCTGTGAGCATTGCATGACATGGGCGCACTAACATACATGCAGGCAATACACTCATACACATAAAATTTAAAAAAGTTTTTTTTCTTAGCCAGGCATGGTGGTGTATGCCTATAATCTCAGCACTTAGGAGGCTAGGGCTGGATGATTACAAGCTCAAGGCATTCCTGGGCTACAGAGGGAGATTATTTTTTAAAAAAATTTATTTGGGGGACAATGAGATAACTTAGTGGATAAAAGCACTTGCTGCCAAGCCTGATGAACTGAGTTCCATCCCTGGGATCCACCTGCTAGAACGAGAGAATTGACTCCCACAAGTTGTTCTGTGACCTTCACATGTGACCTTGGCATGTGCATAACCCACATTCACACACCCCCACGCACAAATAAATAAAACTTTAAAAATTATTAAATAAAGATTGATGTATTTTAGTTAAAGTATATAACATTGCAATTTGAGAAATTTGTATATATATTTATATATTGTATAATAATATAAAGCTGGATGTGGTGTCTTATGCCTGTGATCCCAGCAGTCAGGAGGCAGAGGCAAAAGGATTGTTACAAGTTTAAGGTCAGCCAGGGCTATGGGACGTTCCAGGCCAGCCAGGGCTATGTAGTGAGATTTAAAAAAAATTTCCAAAATAATTGCTGTAATATGTTAACTAGCATTCCCCTTGTCATTCATACTTACAATAGATCTCCTGAACTTTTTTATCTTATAACTGAAAGCTGGTATGCTTTGACTAATATCTACCCATTTCTCCACTCCCCTATTATTACTTTTTTTTTTTAGAGTACTGGGACTTGAATCTTGGGCCTTGTATGTGCTAGGCAAGCCCTCCCTGCTGGTCCTTATAGCATTTTTGGTGATTACATAATGTTTTAATATTGAAATCTAGTTTGTTAGTAGTAGTTATACTCTATTTCTGGACATTTAAAGTTATTTATAATTTTTAGATATTGGGAAAATATTTCAAATATTATACAGTATTATAAGGATCATAATACTGTAGCTCAATCTTTATATATAACCATCATTTATTTCTGTGACTTTTCAAGATAACAGGAGAACCATAGAAGTAGACTTCTGGGCCAAGGCTGCAGGGTGCATGCATTACAAGAGGCTGGTGAACCTTGCTGTTGTTACAGCAGACATCCTACTACTTTAGCCTAATGCCTTCTCAGCATGTTACTTGGGAGAGAAAGTCACATGTGTACTCAATGTGGATCATGTTTTCCTGTAATGCCCTGTATTCATCTCCTGTAGCCCTAGCTGGCCTAGAACTCACTATGTAGACCAGGCTGGCCTTGATCTCACAGAGATCCACCTGCCTCTGTCTCCTAAGTTCCAGGATTGAAGGCATGCTTCAAGGAATGTTCGTGAAACATTGCTTCTTTATCACACAGCCCTATTCAGAGTGATATTCTTTGCCATTACTCAGTTATTTCTCTATTTCTCTCCCTCTGTATCATGTCAAGAAAGTGTAAAGTGTAAGGCTGTGGCCAGAGGACCAGGTACACAGAATAGCAAGCAGCAGGGCTGCAGGCTCGATCCTTGGCAGGGACTGGAAGAGGCAGGAAGAGAACATCAAAAACAATGCTACTTTTCTGCCCAGTGTGATGGTTCAGACCTATAATCCCAGAACTCAGGAGGCAGGAGGACTGCTGTGAGTACCAGGGCAGTCTGACTTAGATCAGACTTAAAAGAAGTGTGGCTGGAGAGCTGGCTCAGCAGTTAAGAGCACTGACTGCTCTTGTAGAAGACTGGGGTTTCATTCCCAGCACCCACATGGCAGCTAACACCCATCCTTACCTTCAGTTCCAGGGGGAGTTGACGCCCTCTTCTGGCCTCTGCGGGCATTGCATGACACAAGTGCACTTACATAAATGTAAGCAAAACATATTAAAGAAAAGAAATTTTAAAGTGCATATAAATTTTTGTGTGACTGGTTTTTATATTTGCATAGTAAGGGCTAGTTAGTGCTATGATCATTTCTGAATCAGAGTCATAGTGTGTCAGTGTCCTGCCTGTGTTGTACACTAGGGAAGTATTATAGTGAAAGAAGCAGTGTAGTGTTAGGCTGTGTTGCAGTTCTATGGTAATTCCTACTTGTTTTTCTGTATAGGTGACTCTGCCTGTGGACAGAGGGCTATCTATCACAGTTTGGGATTGACTGGAATTCCTATAATCAATGTCAACAATAACTGCTCTACTGGGTCTACTGCTTTGTTTGTGGCTCGGCAACTGATTCAAGGAGGTAGGTGTGCTTACTCATCAGTCTTCTTTCGTTTTTAATTTTTTTGTTTGTTTGAGACAGGGCCTCCCTGGAGCCCCTGGTGGCCTGGAACTCACTATGTAGACAAGGCTTACCTTGATTTCACAGAGATCTGCCTGCCTCTGCCTCCTAAGTGCTGGGATTAAAGGCGTGCACCACTACACTGGGCTCTCCTTTAAAATATTTATTTATTTATTTGCATGTGCACATCTGTGTGTCTATGTGTGTTTGTGTGTATTCCAAGGTAGACATGTGGAGGCCAGAGAACAGCTTGTAGGCATAGTTGTCCTTCCATCATGTCAGTCCTGGCATTGAACTCCAGTCATCAGGCTTGGTGACAACCACCTTTACCTACTGAGCTTTCTCACCCATCCTTGTCTAGTGTTCCTAATTATGGGTTTAATGTGCTCTTTTAATCACTTCTCCATGTTACCACCAGGGAGAGATTGCTTTATAATATGTATATATAATGTATTGCTTTAAGATATACTTTGGACATGCTTTAAGACAGGCTTTGAAGCAGTGGAGCTGGGACTGACCTGGAAGCCACCTCCCCTGAAGACTAGCTCTCATAGTTTTGGAGAGCACCATGCAAGCTGCTAAGGGAGAACATCAATCGATGGTCCAACTCCAGCTATGACGCCTAATAACCACGTCAGTGACCTGCACAGCAAACTCTATTGGTGCAGTAGTGGCACTTTTATCTTGGGGGAAATCAGTAGCTATCTAATTTTACTTAAAGCCCACTAAATGAAAGGAAGCTCATGTGCGGTACTGTAAACACAGCCAGATACACATGGCTGGAGAGGTCATAGATCTTAGAGAAAACACCAAGGCTGTCACATCCCTAGACAAATGTAATTTCTTACTATGTGCACATTATGGATCCTTATGTTTATAGACAAGTATCCCAGTTACCACTCATCAAAGAAACTTCTTTTGCAACAGATTGAGATTATTACAGTGTTCCACAACTGGTCATGCACAGAGATTGTCTATAAATTGCCCAAGCCTCAGTGGCACACATACAATGCAACCTCCACACCTAAGGCTCACAGAACATAGAAGAAGTGGTAAAGAGAACATAATGCATCTCTTAACTCTCATCAACAAAGCTCCTTCATGCAACAGAGAACTAGGAACACAAAAGATCACAAATGACTAAAGCAGAGAATAGGAGTCTACTCTACCAGGGCTCAGGGACCATTGCAAAAGACGGGGTGGAAAGAATGTAAGAGCCAGGGAGGAGGTGCATGACCATAAGGAAATACAGCCCCATGGGCTCCTGGGACCTCGCTCATATGAACCTATAGCAATGGTGTCAGCACACACAAGACCCCTGCAAACTCAAGCAGACAAAAACCCAGCACAGAACTGTGGAAATGGGCAGCAGGTCCCAGTCTTAGTTGAAGAACTATTGGCAGCTGATTACTGCTGGGTGAGGAAGAGCTGATTTTTTTAAAAGTATTTTATTTGTTATCTTTATTTCATATGTATAAGTATATTGCTTGCATGTAGGTAGGTGTACCCGTGTCATGCAATGCCCACAAAGACAGGCTCTTACTATGTAGCTCTGGATGGCCTAGAACTTGCTGGGTAGATCAGACTGACCTCAAACTCACAGAGCTCCACCTGCCTCTGCCTTCTGAGTGCTGGGATCAAAGGTGTGTGCCACCATGCCTGACTAATTTAACATTTTGACAGTTTATTCTCGTAGCATGTGTCAGTGTTGTGTTTCTGTTTATGGTCAGATAACATTCCATCTCATGGGTTTGCCATACTCTATCATTTGATGGACGTTGTTTCTCTTTGTGCAGCTTTTTGGTGGTCATATATTTTCATATATATTGATATTTTATAGTCTCTATTTCCAAATATTCAGGGTCTTTTATTAGACCCTCTTCCACTACCAAGTGCTCTAATTTTTGAAGCTTGTAATCTTACTGTTTGATAATGTTGGTGCGCCTTGTTTCCCTTCGTTGCTTTCTTTCTTTTCTTTTCTCTTCCCCTCCCTTCCCCTTCCCGTTACCTTTCTCTTCCCCTCCCTCCCTCCCTCCCTCCTCTCCCCCTTCTTTCTTTTTTTTCTGTTACGATGATTGAACCTATTACTCATGCATTCTGGTCAAGTGCTTTCCCACCAAACTGCATCCTGTTGCTCAGAAATTCTTTTTTTGTTTTGTTTTGTTTTGTTTTGTTTTGTTTTGTTTTGTTTTGTTTTGTTTTGTTTTGTTTTGAGACAGGGAGACCCTGTAACCCCAGCTGGCCTAGAACTTGTTATGTAGACCAGGCTGGCTTGGATCTCAGAGACCCATCTGCCTCTGCCTTCTGAGTGTTGGGATTGAAGGCATGCACCACCATGCCCAATTGTATAAATAGGATTTAGTGTTCCATAATGAGATTTAAAAAAAATTTATTATTTTTATTTTATGTGTATGCATGTATTGCCTGCATGTATGTGAGTGCACCCATGTTGTGCAATGAATTGCCTCGGACCTCAGAAGAGGGCTTTGGATTACCCTGGAACTGGAGTTAAGGACAGTTCATGGCTGCCATGTGGGTGCTGGGAATTGAACCTTGGTCCTCTGCAAGAGCAGTCAGTGATCTTAACCACTGAGCCATCTCTCTAGCCCCCATAATGACCTTTTATATTTAGTTTTTACTGAAACATTTGACATTATTGGAAAATTTTATTGACATAATGAGACTCAAGGAGAAAATTAATTACCTTCTTGATTTTTCAGTGGGTAAAGGTCCTTGCTGTCAAACCTGAGGACCTGAGTTCCATCCCTGGAATCTGTAGTGGAAGGAGAGAAGCAACACTTGGTGCTCAATGGCACACATGTATACACACACACACATACACACACACGCACACTTGCACTTGCATATGTGCCTGTATATATATAAAATATAGGTATACATACACACAAACATAAATACAAACAAATAATTTTATAGGGTTGGAGTATTTTTTTTATTAGAGTATGCTTTTTTTCATTTTATGTAAATTGATATACTTATTTAAATTGAAGTATTTAGTGGCATTTTGTTGTGTACCTAGAATTTAAATTTTAAAGATGATTATGTTTTCCTTTAAGGTGTGGCAGATTGTGTGTTGGCTCTTGGGTTTGAGAAGATGGAGAAGAGAGCCCTTGGCTCAAAAGTGAGTCTCATTTATTGTTATTTTGGAATTATTATAACCCTATGAGAAAACTTTGCCCATCTGACCATCATACCATAAAGTCTGTTAATAAGTAACATAATACATGATTTGACTTTTAAAAATATTTTAAAAGATTTATTTGTGTGTGTATGAGAGAGGGAGAGGGAGAGGGAGAGAGAGAGAGAGAAAGAGAGAAAGAGAGAGAGATATATATGCCACATGTGTCCTGATGCCTGCAGAAGCCAGAAGATGGGATCTCTTGGAACTTATGATTATAAGCCTCCTGCTGTAGGTGTTGGGAACCAAACTCATGTCCTCTGGAAGAGCATCAAGTGCTCTTAACTGCTGAGGGTTACAGGGATCAAACTCAGGTTGTCAGGCTTGGTGGCAAATGCATTTACCTACTGAGCTATTTCACCAGCTCCTATATTCAAGTTTTAATTGGAATTTTTAGGATAAAAGTGGGCTCCTGCAACTCAAACAATTTAGGCTTGGTGATATATCCCAAGTTAAAGAGATGAATGAGTGTGGAAAGCAGAGAGATTTATTTAGTAAGACCACAGCGGGAAGAGGAACAGATGCAGGGTCCAGTGACCTCAAGGCCATCTTCAGGGTACTGACAGGATCTTTAACTAGAGGGAAAAGGGTATGCATAATTCAGCAGTCCTGGTCAAGGAGTGATCTAGCCTTTATTGTTTCAGCTTGACTCTGTCCTGCAAGGTGGTCCCAAGATGCTCCCAAAACATTGTCTGAGAATTTTAAAATTACATTTATTTGTGTGTGTGTGTGTGTGTGTGTGTGTGTGTGTGTGTATGTGTGTAGACATGTCACAGCACACATGTGGAAGTCATAGGTCCTGGGGATCAAACTCAGGTCATCAGGCTTGATGGCAGGTGCCTTTACCCCTTAACCATTCTGCCAGCCCTCTTAGCCTCCCAGTCCTAGTCCTTGAGGGGACAAGGTGGTTCTTAGAAGATGACCTCTACTCTTCCAGTGCAGCCTGGCCTTCATGGATAATTAATCGTCTTGAGAATAGTCTGTCCTGTGAGGTTCTGCTGTTCTTAGAACCTAAGGCAACTCAAGAGGAATGACTAATCAATGACTAACCTCTGTTTCAAAGTAGAAGAATGGCACAAAATTAAAGTAGCAATGTCAGGCTTTCATCCTGCTTTTTTTTGTTTTTGTTTTTTTTTTGGTCTTTTTGGTCTTTTTGAGACAGGGTCTTCCTGTAGCTCCAGCTGTCCTGGAACTCACTATGTAGACCAGGCTGGCCTTGAACTCACAGAGATCCGCCTGCCTCTGCCTGCCAAGTGCTAGGACTACAGGCGTGCGCCACCACACTTGGCTTCATCTGCTTTTAATTATCTTTTGGGGCCAAGTAATTTTTAGCAAAAGCCAGCTTCTAAGTGCTTGTTTCAAAGAGAGTGGTTACGTCAGCTCTTGGCTAGATTGTTGGTAGCAGATAAATTCTGGGATTGGCTGTCATTGTGAACCTTTTCATAGCACAAACAAGCATAGGGGAACATTAGGTGTTGAAGTTTACCAAACAAGAGATTGTATGTAGCCCAGCTTGTGTGTATATCTGTGTGTGTGTGTGTGTGTGTGTGTGTGTGTGTGTGTGAGACAGGGTTTCTCTAGTCCCAACCCCAACCCACCTGGAAGTTACCATGTGAACCAGACTGACCCCGGTCTCAGAGATCAGCCTGCCTCTGCCTCCCTAGGGCTGCTTTTTTCTTTTCCTTTCTTCATTTTTTTTTCTTTAATTTTTTGGAGGCATAGTCTCCCTCTGGCTCCAACTGGCCTGGAACTTGCTAGGTAGACTCGCCTCCATCTCACAGAGTTCCGCCTGCTTCTGCCTCCCAAGGGCTAGGATTAAAGGCATGTGTCACCATATTCAATTCTGCCCAAAAGTTTTAATCAGTCAATCAACCTTAAAGAATGTTTAACATAGATGCAGCCCTTGTTTAAATTTCTCTTCCCAGAGCCAGAGGTGGAATTGGATTTCATTCTTTTAATCAAAAATCATGTGGCAGAGTATATTAAGAATTAAAAGAAACACAAATCAGTCTGTGTAATAGCCTTGCTTTATGAGGAAGAAATCACTTTCATTTAATTAATTAATTAATTAATTTACAGTGTTTGTAGATGTGTATGGATGCACATGTGCCACAGCAGAGTATGTGTATAAGTCAGAGGATAACTTTCGGGAGTTGATTCTTCTTCCTGATAGGTAAAACCGGGGTAGAGTTTATTAGTAGAGGAAAAAGCACATGAGACAGTTCCCTTTGGGGAGAAGCTGTCCCTCTACAGATTGTTGGATGGGGAAGGTAGGAAAATATTTTTTTTAAAAAGTTGGGCCCTGGGGGGTGGGGGGCTGCAGGGCTTATCAGGATCTGGGTCAAAGGTGTAAAGAGTCTGGGACTGGAGAGATGGCTCAGCGGTTAAGAGCACTGATTGCTCTTGCAGAGGACGCGGATTCAATTCCCAGCACCCACATGGTGGCTACGAACCATCCTTAACTCCAAAGCCCTCTTCTGACTTCCGCAGCATTGCATGGCACGGGTGCACTCACATACATGCAGGCAGTACACTTGTTCACATGAAAATAATAAAAAAATATTTTTAAAAAGGTGTAAAGAGTCTGTTTATCCTTTAAGATCATCAAAGAGGAGGCATACTGTGCTGAAGCAACTCCTTGTAGTAATCAGGTCTCTGGTCAAAAGATGGAGTCTGTTTATCTTGTCTTCCAAGATCAGAGTGCTCATTAACTCAGTTCCTACATTCTCAGGGGCCCTGCAGATCCTTGAGGCCCTGCTGCATTGGGAAGGGAGTTGCTGTAGGTCCAAACCCTAACACTTCCAACATGTGGGTTCTGTGGGTTGAACTCAGGTCAGCAGGCTTGGAAGCAAGCACGTCTACTAGCCCTCATATAGGATTTTAAATCTTTTTAAAAATTTTATTTATGATTTTTATTTTATGTGCATGTATATAAATGCACCTATGTTGCACAGTGCCCAAGGAAGACAGAAGAGGGTGTAGGATCCCTTGGACCTGGAGTTGCAGATGGTTGTTAGCCCCCATGCGGGTGCTGGGAATTGAACCCACTCAGGTCCTCTGCAAGAGCAGTCAGTGCTCTTAACTGCTGAACCGTCTCTCCAGCCCCCACTACTTTGAATCTTAAGAGTGGTAATTGTGATGCTTCCTCCCTCCTTTAACACAGCATTTCAAATTCTAAGGAGGTCCAATTGTGATACTTTGCCTTCTGTAAAATTATTGTGTTACCAGGGATAGAGGAGGTAGTCCAAACCTGACTGGGGTAGAGGTTTCATCCTCAGTGACCTCAAGCTGCTGGCTAGGTTTCTGACACTACTTTCATTCTTCAGCATTGATAAAATTAGTGTATCTTTAATTCATATTGTGTTAGATTATTTGATGTTGAAAAATAATGTTAAATAATTTTGGCTTGGAATTAGAACAGAATTTCCAAGAATTTTTGAAATGGCCCTAAATGTACTTCTGTCACTTTGTGTTATATATTTGCGTACATTCTCAGCATTGACAATTAAAACTCAAAACATGGACTGTGTGGTGGTGCATGCCTTTAATCACAGCACCCAGGAGGCGGAGGCAGGCAGATTCCCCTGAAATTTAGGTCAGCCTGGCCTACATAGTGAGTTCTAGGCCAATTGGGGCTACAGGGAAACACTGTTTAAAAAAGAACAAAACAAAACTCAAAACATCAGGGTATTGGAGAGATGGCTCAGTGGTTAAGAGCACTGGCTGTTCTTGTAGAGGACCTGGGCGTCGGGACTTGGGTTTGCTTTGCTTAGCAGGGGACCTCCTGGCTTCGGGGCAGAGAGACTTGATCAGCCACAGAGTCTTGGGCCCTGGGACCTGTGTCTTTTCAACAAGCTGTTAATTTTAAAATTCAGATGGTTTTTATACATCCCAAGGAACTAGCAGTAACGTGGGATATGGCAGTCACATACAAAGATTTAGGGTACAAAGAAACAGGACATTTAGTCTGTTAGTTGGCGCCAGAAGGATTCTTAAACTTTTACTCAAGGTTATCAATGCCCATCCAGTAATTTATTTGCCACAATGTTTTCTTTCTTAGAGCTAAAAGCATGGTGAACTTTTAGCTTTTAGCCCAGGAGTAAACCTTTAACCTGGCCTAATCTCTTAGCCAAGGATAGCTGGGTTATTTGTTCAGGACAAGGAGATGAGCTAAGGGTTGTTGACCAAGACCCTTTCTCACAGAGCAGGCAGCCTGCACTTATGACCAGGCCGCTTCCTCCTGGCAGTCTCACAGTGTTCCACAAGACAGGGATTATCAGAGGCACTGTTTTCAGCACCCCTCCCTTTAGCATAGAGTGCAGCCTGGACTTAAAAGTTTTAGGCTTGCCGGGCGTGGTGGCACATGCCTTTAATCCCAGCACTCAAGAGGCAGAGGCAGGTGCTCTGTGAGTTCAAGGCCAGCCTGGTCTACGTAGTGAGTTCCAGGACAGCTTGGGGCTACAGGGAGACCCTGTCTCAAAAAGACCAAAAAAAAAAAAAAAAAAGTTTTAGGCTCATCTCATCCTGGTTTCCTATACCCAGGTTCGGTTCCCAGCACATACAGAGCAGCTAACAACTGTCCATAACTCCAGTTCAGGATCCTACAACCTCTTCTGACCTCCACAGGTATTGCATGACACAGGTGCACTTACATACATGTAGGCAATAGACTCGTACACATAAAAATAATAAAATATTTTAAAAATGACTTTAAAAAAAATCAGTTTAGCCGGGTGTGGTGGTGCATGCCTTTAATCCCAGCACTCAAGAGGCAGAGGTAGGTGGATCTCTGTGAGTTCGAGGCCAGCCTGGTCTCCATAGTGAAACCAAAAAAGCCGGGGGCACAGGGAGACCCTTTCTCAAAAAGACCAAAAAAAAAAAAAAAAATCAGTTTACTCTGACATGTTGAAGATGCTTTATGTCCTACAGTATCAGATACTCAACCAATGAAAATTGCAATATTCGTGTAAAAAATAAAAAGAATATCCATCTTATTAGAATGCAGATTTTCTTTAATTTTAATATATAAAAGAATGGTAAAATTATATGTGGGCAAGAAATATTTTAACCTGGAAATGATGGCAGACGCCTTTCATCCCAGCACTTGGGAGGCAGAGGCAAGCCAAGCTCTGTGAGTTCAAGGTCAACCTGGTCTACATAGTGAGTTCTAGGCCAGCCAGAATTACATAGTGAGATCCTGTCTCAAAAGAAAATTTGTGTGTGTTTGTTTGCGTGCGTGTGTGTGTGCGTGCGTGTGTGTGTGTTTTGTACATGTTGTCACATGTCAGAAATACAAGTGGTATGTTTTGTCTTCTAAAATGTCAGAACTTACTGAATAACAGTAAAGTCACAGGGTTTGATTGGCAGAAGTTTTCAGCTTTCTTTGGTAGTCAGGTCAAAGCAAACACAGGTTCTGTTTTCCGATCTTTATTTACTAATAGTAACTTTCTTTTTAAAAAAATATTTTATTTATATTTTTATTTTATGTGTATGAGTGTTTTACCTGTACCTGTGTAAGTATACCTATGTCATGCAATGCCTGTGGAGGTCAGAAGAGCTGTATCAGATCTCCTGGAACTGGAGTTAAGAATCGTTGTTAGCTGCCATGTGGGTGCTGGGACTAGAACCTAGGCTCTCTTTGAGAGCAGTCAGTGCTCTTAGGCACCGAGCCATCTCTTTGGCCCCACTAACAGTAACTTTTGAACCATATGTTACATATTACACATACATTTGTTTGTCTATCTAGTTGTCATCTATCTATCTGTATATATGTAGGTTATAGGATGGTTACAAAGGGGTTCAAGAAACTGTAGCAGAATTCAAGGCATTTTGAGGAGGTCAGAGAGGCAGAAGCTGATTGGGAGGCAAAGAGAATCTCTGCTGGAAGGAATAATAGCCCTGCTGGAGGTGCTGTTGCTTCTGTTGCTACAAAATCAGAATTGAGCTGCAAAACTGAGTGGAGCCTGTAGAGGTGAAGGGCAGGATGGTGTGCAGGTGAATGAACAGGTGGATGGATGGATGAATGGCAGGTCCAGATGGGCAAACAGTAGGTGGACAGATGGCAATTGAAGTAGGCTGTATCAGTAGCAGGGACCAAGCCAAGCTGGAGCCCTTGGGAGAATTGGGAGTTCTCTGTCTATCGGTCCCTTGATGTGCACGTGTGTGGTGTGTGTGTGTGTGTGTGTGTGTGTGTGTGTGTGTGTGTGATCAGATGATAGGTTGGTGGGGCCATAGCCATCACAATGTTAGATGTAGTCCTCTTTATAGGGTCCTTGGTCATCTGAAAAGTTCTCAGACCTGGTTTTCCTGATTTAATACGCCCATGTGATCCTAAAGTCCCGCTTTAGTTGGATGTTTTGTAGGGTGGTACCATTTCAATTTTAGGAGTAAGTGGGTTTTGGGTTTTTTTTTTTTTTTTTTTTTTTGACTTTAGAGGAATAGAAATTTATTTCCCATGGTTCTGGTGGCTGAGAAGTCCAATTTCAAGACAGGTCTGGTGTCCTGTGAGGCCTGGTTCCTGGTTCCTGGAAGGCTGGCTTTTTCCTTGATCCCCCCAAGTGTTGGAATTATAGGGATGTATATCATACCCAGCTTCCCATGTTTTTCTGCAAAGTATTTCTTGAAGATTTTGTTTACATTGACCATTTATGGTTTACTATGTTCTTAGGATAAACAAGTGTTTGGTTGCTTAGGAGTAGTGTTGTAGTTAAAAGAGACATTCACTGTGTCAACCACTTGCTAAATTTTGTTTTTTTTCCCCTCTCTCTTAAGTTTTCAGATAGGTCTCATCCAATAGATAAACATCTTGAAGTCTTGATCAATAAGTATGGATTGTCTGACCACCCAGTTGTTCCACAGATGTTTGGGCTTGCTGGAAAAGAGCATATGGAAAAACATGGTATGTTAAAAAAAAATCTTTCAGACTTATTACTAGTAATACACATGGGATAAGAAATAGCAGGTGATAGGGCTGGAGAGATGACTTAGCTGTTGAAAGTACTCTGCTCTTGCAGAGGACCCAGGTTCAGTTCACAGCACCCACATGGCAGCTAACAACTGTCCTTGATACAGTTCCAGGGGATTTGATGCTCTCTTCTGACTTCTGTGGGCACTGCACAACAACATGGGTGTACTTACATACATGCAGGCAATACACTCGTACACATAAAATTAAAAAAGTAATTTAAAAAAGGAAATATCAGGTATTTTATTAAGGATTTGTGGAAGATATTGGGATGTATAAGATATAAAGTGGTTTTTGAGTTAAGTTTAAGGAATCAACATTTTCCTTGTTTTCTAATTTCCATATAATTGTAGACAGTAGTATAAAGATCATTGCTGTTGTTCTAACAGATATCCCCTTTCTTTAGTTCCTAGTCAGGTTTTAAGCCCTCATCTGCAGCATCCTCAGAGGAACTCAAAGACACCACTAATAATGTCTTCAGGACAGGCTCACACTAGCACTTGCCTCAAAGTCCACTTCTGGACCCCAAATGACTAATATATTTTATTTATTATTTTTATTTTATGTGTATGAGTGTATTGCCTGCATGTATGTGAGTGCACCTGTGTCATGCAATGCCACGGAGGTCAGAAGAGGGCTTCAGATTCCCCTGGAACTGGAGTCAATGATGGTTTGTAGCCACCATGTGGGTGCTGGGAATCGAATCCAGGTCCTCTGCAAGAGCAGTCAGTGCTCTTAACCACTGAGCCATCTCTCCAGCCTCTATTTTTACATTTTTGATCAATGCAACCTACTTTTAGCATATTAGTCAGTTTGAGCTGCCATAACAAAAATACCACAGGCTTCATGGTTTATACAGGTTCCTCACCGTTTTGAATATTTGAAGTTCAAAGTCAAGGTACTGGCAGCTTCATTGTCAGGTGAGGGCCCACTGCCTGGATCAGTCGTCACATGGGGAATGGAGAAAAACTTTTGGGGCCTATTTTATTTTATTTATTTTAAAATATTGTGTGTGTGTGTGTGCGTGTGTGTGCGTGTGTGTGTGCGTGTGTGTGTGTGTGTGTGTGTGTGTGTGTGTGTATGAAGATCAGAGGGCAAAAAGGATCAAAGCTGGGTCATCAGGCTTGTATGACCAGCACTTTTACCTACTTGAGCCATCTCCTTGGTTCAATCTTTTTTTCAAAATATTTTATTTATTATCTTTATGTGTATTAGTGTATGGCCTGCATGTATATGTGTGGGTCTCTCCCTTCCCTCGTGGGTCATTGGCCACTGATCCATGAGAACAAAGGGAGCAGAGGCGACTAACAGGGTCAGGATGGCCATGAGTATGATGGAAAAACCTTTCCGGGCGACAGCTTCAGTGAGACAGCTCATTTATTCAGTGGGGTCAGGGAAAAGTGTAGGGTGGAGGTGGCAGCCAAAGCTTCAGCTGATGGGTGTTCACAGTATGCTTTATTTACATGTGGTAGAGGGATCCTATCATTGACTATAGGGCAATGCCTAATTATCATATAGAAAAAACCTGGGGGCAGTTTTATTGCCGGTAACTATGCCAAAGGTCATGTTCCAAATAAGGCCAGGCATCTGTGCTTGGAGGCACTTTCCAGGTAAGTCAGGCAGAGAGCAAAAGTCCCCACTGAGAAAGGGAGTCCTCCATACAGTGTCAAGCTCCTTAGAGCTATCAGGACATGGAGGACTACAACCTTAGCAGCAGAGTCCCCCAACATATGTGAGTGCACCCGTGTCGTGCAATGCCGCAGAGGTCAGAAGAGGCTTCGGATTCCCCTGGAACTGGAGTTAAGGATGATTATTAGCTGCTATGTGGGTGCTGGGAATCAAACCCGAGTCCTCTGCAAGAGCAGTCAATGCTCTTAACTGATGAGCCATCTCTCCAGCCCCTTGGTTCAATCATTTTAAAATTAAATTTCTTTATGGTTATCAGTTGAAAGGTTTTGAAAGATGGTATACTTCACTTTTACACTTATTAAGAAATGTTGTAGGATGACTTTCTCAGTATTTGTTTTGAAATATCTTCAGATTTAATAAGAATGTTGCAAAAATAGTACAAAAAATTCCCAATACCTTTTTTCTTAACATTTATATTTTGCTATGCTTATTTTGAAATCTCTTTCATCTATGTCACCATTACTTGAAAAACTGAGAATAAATTATAGACTTTCACAGCTACATTATAATGACCAAAATCAAATGACTATGAAGCCAGGTAGGGTGACCTGTGTGTCTAAAGTCCTAGCTACTGGTGAGCTGTGGCAGGAGAAGCACTTGAGACTTGAGCCTGGGCCTCTGAGGCCAACCTTGACAACAGAGTAAGACCCCAGTCTTCCTCCCCCTCCAAAAAAAGTTGACATGATGCTGTTATCTAATCTACAGACCTTATTCTAAATTTCCCTAGTTATGTTATCCCATGAATATTCTTTATAGCCCAAAAGCCCCTCATAATTTTGTTGTTTATTTCTCAGTGTTCCATTTATTTTTGTCTTTTTATGACAGGGTCTCAAGTAGCCCAGGCTGGCCTGAACTCTCTGTGTATTGAGGCTTGTCTTGAACCCCTGATCCTCCTACTTCTACCTTTTAAGTGATAAAATTTCAAGTATGCACTACCAGGCCCTGCTGTAATTTCCTTTTTGGGGGAGGGGAGTGTATTTATTTATTTATTTATTTATTATTTATTTTTATCAACTTTGGAGCTTAATTTGTTTTGTTTTGAACTTAGGTCTGAGCTACTTAGGCCCATTAGCCACATTGAAAGCATTTGGAAATTTATTTTTATTTTTTGTCATGCTGGGGACCCTGGGCCTTGTCTGTGCCAGGCAAGTGCTCTATTACTGAGCTACACCACTAGTCTCTGAATGTTGATTTTATACTTCCTTTGTAAAAAAATAATTTATGGAGCATTGGGACCACTTGACTGTTACAGGTTTGATAGTTTTGTGTGAAACTCTGAATCAGTTTTTTCTTCTTGGGTAGATGCCTACAATCATCTCTCTGCCTCTCTTCTCCCCTCTTCCCTCCCCGCCTCTCCCCTCTCTTCTTTTTTTTTGGTAGGGGAGGGCAGAGTCTCATGTATCCTTGGCTGACCTCTAACTCTCTATAACTGAGGATGACCTCGAATTTCTGATCCTCTTGCCGCTACCTTCTGAGCACTGAAATTATGGGTGTGTGTCACCATGCCCAGTTTATGTGTTGTTTAGGCCTGAATCCATGGTCTCCTACTTGTGAGACAAGATCTCTGCCAACTGATCAACATCTCCTGCACAGATTTCTCTATTCCTTTGGGTTTGAATGTTTATTTCCAATTGGATCAATTTTGGTAATCTAAATTTCTCTAAAAAATTATACATTTCATTTATATTTTCAAACCAATTTGACTAGAAATCTAAAAAGTAATCTTTCACTATTTATTGACTGCCTTAAAAATAATATACATCCAGGAATAGTGGGTACATGCCTTTAATTCCTGCACTCAGGAGACAGAGACAGAACTCTGTGAGTTCAAGGCCAGCCTGGTCTGCGTAGTGAATTTCAGGCCAGGTTAGGGTTACATACTGAGACCCTGTCTCCAAAAAAAAAAAAAAATTTACAACTTAAAAATGTATTTTTGGGGGTCTGTGGGAATGGCTCAGCAGATAAGAGCATTTGCTATGCAAATATGAGGACCTGATTTCAAATCCCAGACCCTGTATGCCACATACAGATGTACCACACAAACACAACAAACAGAAAGCCTCCATTGATTTCCACTGTAGGAACGTTTTCTCTGCATGTTCGCACGTGGAGAGGGAGTGGTTGTCTGTCTGTTGTAGTTTCAGAGCAACTGTAGGCCTGTGGCTAGCCCTCTTCTCTGTGCTGTTTTACCTCAGGCTGCTCTTGTACCTTCAAAGGTCTGTGGTCAGGATTTGGGCTTTTTTTGGTGTGTTTTTCTTTTTTCCTAAATTACAGATATTTTGAGGTTTTTGGCATCATCTTTTTTCTGGTTTTGCTGATTATATGGTATTATACAGTCACATTTTTTCCTCTTATTTTGTATTATTTTTGGAGGCTCTGGGGACAGATTTAATGGCTTCCATTGGCCTTGGAAATCTTGGTACTGGTGTGATTTTAAACTTACATATTTTCTTAAGTTTTATATTACTTGAAATAGCTTGATAGTTTTCTAGTCTAAAATTTGAAATAAAAATGTATACTATTTCACTGGCTTTTTTTTTTTTTTAATTTCAGTCTTTTTATCCACAACCTGTGTTATATGTTGGTGGTTTCTAGAGCTCTAACTTAACACAATCCATATGCAGGTGGTATGTTACAACTTCCTAAGTATAAATTGCCTTACAGAGTACGATTCTCCCCATAACCTTTATATTACCATAGCTGTTTCTTTGTATTTATATTTCCTAATAGTTATGGTTGTTGCTGCTTTAAAATAGTGTTTTTCTTCAAATGAGTCTTTATTTGTCCTTTCTTGTTGCTGGTAACTCTTTCCTGCATGTCTGTTTATCCACAGAGGACCAATTCAGCTTTGAGAAATTCCTCTAGTGCTTCCTTTCCTGTTTCTTAGCATCTCTTTCCCTGTAGATCTTCGGTCAGCAAATTCCCTCAGTTTTCTTCTGAATGTCTTTATTTTCACTAAAAATGTATTAAAAAATGTATACTATTTTTAGTTGAATTTGTTCTTATTTTTTGACAGCATCTCACATTGTAGCCCAGGCTAGCCTAGAACTTACTACATGGCCCACGCAGCTTGACATTCACAGCAGTATTGTTGCCTCAGCTTCCTGAGTGCTGGGATTATACGTGTGAACTGCTATTCCTGTCTTGAAATGCTGCTTTTCAACAAATAGTAGAAGTTTTAGAATTTAAGTTGATAGAATCAACAGATTTTTGTGGCTGTATAATTTGATTCAGGGAGATTGGAATATTTTTATACTAAGCATATCCTTTGAACAGCCAAAATTATTATTATTTTTTCCTTTGAGAGGGGAACTTTTTTGGGGTCTCCTAGCTGAAGCTGGCCTTGACTTCCTGATCCTCCTGCCTCAACTTGCCAAGTGCTGGGATTTCAAGTGTTTTCTTCCATGCCTGACAACAGCCAATCCGTAATGGGCATTTCTGAATTAGTGGATATCAATCTTTCATCAGCGTCAGGTTTAAGAAATATGTGGTAAATTGGGGCTGGAGAGATGGCTCAGCGGTTAAGAGCGCTGACTGCTCTTGAAGAGGACCCGGGTTCGATTCCCAGCACCCACACGACGGCTACGAACTGTCCTTAACTCCAGTTCCAGGGGAATCCGAAGCTCTCTTCTGACCTCCATGGCATTGCACAACATGGGTGCACTCACATACATGCAGGCAATACACTCATACACATAAAATAAAAATAAAATATTAAAAAAAAAAGAAATATGTGGTAAATGACTGGCAGAATGTTTTTCTAGTTGATGCTCTTTCATACATGAATTGGATTCCATGGAAAGCAAAAGGGAAAAAAAGATAGTGGCACTTACCAGGTATTTGTTGCTTGTTCTTTTTTTAAAAAAGGGTTTTATTTATTTTTATGTTTGTTAATGTATTGCCTACATGCGTGTAAGTGCACCCATGTCATGCAGTTCCCATGGAGGTCAGAAGAGGGCATTGGATTCCCCTGGAACTGTTATGGACAGTTGTTATGGACAGAGTTATGGAACTGTTATGGACAGAGTTATGGACAGTTGTTAGCCACCATGTGGGTGTTGGGAATTGAACCTAGGTCTTCCGCAGGAGCAGCCAGTGCTCTTAACCACTGAACCATCTCTTCAGCCCTTATTGTTTTGAGACAGAGTTTCCCTGTAGCCACAGCTAGCCTGGAACTCACTATATAGACCACAAGATTGCCTGCTTCTGCTTTCTGATTGCTGAAATTAAAGGTGTGTGCCATTATGCCCAGCCTGATACACACACACACACACACACACACACACACACACACACACACATATGTATAGTGAGTTTTTGTTAATTCAGACCTCTTCTCCCATCCCTACCCTAACACTACCCACCCCCAAACTTTGTGTACTGCAGAAATTGCAGAAATCATATGTCATTACAATGTCATTGATCTTTAATTCTTACAACGCAGGTATGCCAAAGTATGCAAGGTATGCCAAAATGTGGTTTTGGGTCAGAGTATGCCCAGGCTTCTTAGAATGGTATTTTTCACTCTTAATTTTTGTTTTTTTTTACACACTGCTTAGGAATGTTAAGTACAGATTTCTCTCTTTCTCAGCTATTGGAAATGCTTGGTTTTCTTCGTAAAAGTTAGTTGTTTGTAGCCCTTGCATGCAGGTTACACTTTGGCTGTTTCTGGTCCTCATTCAGCACAATAACCCCACTGTGAACCAAGGTATTCTTCAACAGACTGATTTCCCCTCAGGGTTTCACTATGGGTAAAAGCAGAAACTTTGTCCTCACAGCAGGCAGCAGTAGCTCACAGGCCTTCGATCTAAGATTCTCTGAGTGGCAGTTGGGAGGTTTCACATTGTCAAATGACAGCTTCACCCCAGTGTCCTCTAGGTTATTTCTGAAGTCTATAAACTTCCCAGATTCCTAATGTTGAGGACTGCAGCTAGGTCTTGACAGCCACTGGGTGATATTGATGGTCAGCCAACCATGGGTGCCACTGGGGCATGTAGGTGGGCTGACTGACTGAGTTCTGCCCTGCTAGTACGCGTGGGCAGCCAGGCTCTGCACTGGTGGTGTGTGTTGCTGGCAGTGTTCTCAGGATGTAACTTCTCTAAGGATCCTTGTACCTTATGTAAAGAAGAGGTAGTTGTTGAGGTGTTTCTCAGGCTCTGAAGGGCGTGACTGGCACACCACTGACCCAGGGGCATCAGCGTGCATGGCAGAGGCTAGAAGTGTGGCTGGCAGTGATCTGCTAAGCACTGAGGTCCTAGACTGTATTTTCTAGATTTTGAAACTCAGTCCTAATTATATTAAGTAGAATAGACAGTTTGAATTATTTTCATCTCATATGCCTCTGAGTTGATTCAATTCATGAAAAATATTCAAATTTAATTTAAGAATTCATGATGCTCCCTGTCAGTCTTCAGTACAGGCATCATGAAGGGGAACCATGGGCATATGTAGCAGAACACTGAGCACCACGCAACATTTGCTAATGAGCAGCAGAAAATAACACGTTGATAGATGTTTGCTCTCTCTACAGGAACTAAAGTTGAACACTTTGCAAAAATTGGATGGAAAAATCATAAACACTCAGTTAATAACCCGTAAGTACTTCAGGAATGTGAAGTGAAAATCTGGTCTGGCTTACTATGTAATATGCAGCTTGATGCTTGGAAAGCAAATGTAAGATCTGAAAAATATTAACTTGAATGTTTATTTTTTTTCTTCTAAAAGGCTTATACCTAAGTCAACTTTGACTACTTTTCTAGTTATAGGTTTTCTCTCATTATACTTAATTATGCTTTTTATAAAGTATAAGTATATACTTATACTTTTTACCTATATTTTGAGGGTTTCTTTTTTTTAGTTTGGGGAGTGTTGAGACAGGGCCTGACTTGTAACCCTGACTGGCCTGGTACTTATTATATAGGCTGGCCTTGAACTTGTAGCTATCTCCTACCTCAGCCTCCTAATATGCTGGTATTATAGGCATGAGTTACTATGCTTGGCTTTAGTGACTCTTAAATAAGAAGAGTTACAAGTATTAAAAGATATAATTGGGGCTGAGGATGTAGTTTGGTGGTAGTGCTAGTGATTAGCATGCATGAGGTACTAGGTTGATTTCTTAGCAGAGCAAAAAAATTGCAAAATGCATGTTAGTTTTATAACTGAAATTGGTTTGTTTCTTTAGTGTTATTAACTTACTTGGAATAACAATATAATTATACACTAAAAATAATCTGATGAAAAAGTACATTAGATGTATACAGACAGATGTGTTGCAGCTCAGTAATCTCTGAGTCCCTAGTGGTATGTGCAGTGCTTGGCTTACAGCATTACCTGATGTTTGCTGGGTAAAATTGGGCCATTAGGAATTGAATTGATGCCATATAACTAGACTCACTGTAAAAGCAATGCCACACATACTAGACCATTCTCTTTTGCTAATAACATCATATCACAGACTGGATGAGGTATAAAGAAAAGGGATTTACTTTACCAAAAGGGTTCTGGACGTGCAGGGCTGAGGTTCCATAGCTGATGATGACCTTCTTGTTAGCAAAGTCCCTGGGTGGTACAGGTCATCACATAGCAAGAGATGAGGGACATGCATCTGTATTTCTTCTGGTCTGTTCTTATAAAGTCACCAAGATTCAGTTAATTCAATAAAATTCAATCTACCCTGGTGGCCTTGTCTAATCCAAATCACCTCCCAGGACTGAACACCATAGTCAGATTAATTCCTTCCTCCTCCTCCTCCTCCTTTTCTTCTTCTACCCTCCTTCCTCCTCTCTCCTCCCTCCTCCTTCCTCCCTGCTCCTCCACTTCTAGCAGGGTACTCAGGGCAGAGTAAACATGAGGTGCAACTACTATTATTGACTGGTAGAGCTGGGGAGCACAGACTTAAGCCCATGATTTTTAAAAGTGGTACCTTCATTCTTAGATCTTAGAGAATCATTAATATCTTTGAGATTCCATAGAGTGCTGAGGAGTTTACAGTACTGTAGTTTTCTGGCTTTGAGGCTCAAAAAGAAGCTTTTGGCTTTTCCAAGAGAATCAGAGTATTAAGGTTTGCATATGAAATGTCCCATGAAGGCCCATATGTTGAGTGATTTGTCCCCAGGTACTATAGGAAGTTCTGAAAATTTTAGAAGGTAGGGCCTAAGTGGAAGAAGTAGATCCCTGGGGTATCTTGTTCATGGCCCTTTCCTGCCTTGCTCTCTCTGCTCTTTCTCCATGTGCTCCTGATGCCATTATGTTCTTTATGTTCTGTCCAAGTGCACGGAGCCAAGCAGCCATGGATGGACTCTGAAACCATGATCAAAATCAACTTCCTTCTGTGGTTTTTTTTTTTTTTTGGTCTTTTTGAGACGGGGTCTCCCTATAGCCCCAGCTGGCCTGGAACTCACTATGTAGACCAGGCTGGCCTTGAACTCACAGAGATCCGCCTGCCTCTGCCTCCCAAGTGCTGGGACTAAAGGCATGTGCCACCACACCCCACCTCCTGTGAGTTGTTTATGTCAGGTATTTTGGTCACAGTGACAAGACAAGTAACTAGCACACAAAGACTCTGAGTCTTTTCTCAGCCCCTTATTTAACCAGTTGCTCATTCACACACTCATCACAGCGTTCTTAAGGAATTTCATTCATTCAATAAATATGTGTTTGGTAGCCTACTACATGCACATGGTGCCCAAGCTAATGGACAGTGAATGAGGGAGGTGAATGGATCTTCTATTACATTCTATATAATAAACTCTCAATTACATTGAATAGGCAAATATTTCTAGGTGTCATTTTTATCCTATAAAATTCATTGAAATCCTAGAAGAGCCTTTTGGGTATGCTTCAGAAATTACAGAAGACTAAATGATGAGCCTCTTATCTCTGTGGTACCCTAAGGTCAGTTCGAGACTTTCCATCCTTGGGTAGAAAGAGTCTATATTTCTTTCAGCATAAAGAGGCTTCAGAAAACAGAACTTTAGCCATCATCAACCCTTAGGATTAAGCAACTGAAGTCTGAGAGGGGAGAATTGAGGCCAGATGGAAAGACAGGGAAAATTGAGATATGGAAAGGGAAAGGAACCCTCCCTCCTGCTGGCTGAGAATCAAGAGATTCTCAAAACCAAGATTATAACCAACCTACAGTCAAAACATATCATAACAACTTTGGGACCTATGTATAGGAAGGACTCCGTTGACTCCTTTTTTGTGGGGCGGTGTTTGCGAGTGTGTGAGTTGGGAACTGAACCTAGGTCCTCTGCAAGAGCATCAAGTGCTGTCCCATACCAAGCTTTCCTGCTGAAATACAGGTCGTCTCCTGTCACAGCACAACTTAATAACCTGTAGTGGCTCCTCACTGTTTTTAGTGTGGAATATGAACATCATAAAATAGGCTTTCCTGCTCTAACCCTGTTCATTGTCCTATCCTTTTCCATTTTAACCTCTTCATCCCTCCCAGACTTCAAGCCATGCCTCAGTGGGCCTTTTTACCTCAGGGTGCTTGGCATATGCTGCTACTTCTGCCAGGAATTCCTTTTCCCTTTTTTATTTATCTTCTGGCATCTGGATTTAATGCACATTTGTGTGCTTCTATACTACCTACATAACATTTCTGTCATAGCATTTATTGTATTGTACATACGACAACAAATTTCTTTTCCATGGAATCATACTAAATTCCTTGAGGGTAGGAACTATATCTATGTCTTTGGTGCTTAGCACAGGATATGGCCCAAATAGATTGTTTCTGGAAGTTGGTATGTTCAAAGTTTACTTATTTTGAGGTACCAGGGATACAGCCGGGGGCATTGTACATGCTAGACAAGTAATTTTTTTGTTTTGTTTTTGTTTTGAGATAGGGTCTCACTTTGTATCTCTGGCTGTCCTGAAACTCACAGAGATTTACCTGCCTCTGCCTCCCAAGTGCTGGATTTAAAGGTGTGTGCCCCCATGCCTAGCTCTTTTTTTTTTTGAGGCAGGATCTCAGGTAGCCCAGACTGGGTTCAAACTGGATATGTGTCTGAGGATGACCTTGAACTCCTGATCTTCCTGCCTCTACCTCCTGAGTGCTAGGATTACAGGCATATGCCACCATATCCAGTTTATGTGGCTCTGGGAACCCAAGGCCTCATGCATGCTAGAAAAGCACTCTACTAACTGAGCTACATCCCCAGCCGGCAAATCATTTAATTTATTTAAAATTGTAATTAATTAATCATTACATGCATGTGTGCATAATAATGTGTAGGTGTACATGCTATGGCATACATGAGGAGGTCAAGGATCACCCTGTGGAGGAAGTTCTCTCATTTCACCTTTACTTGGGCTCCAGGGACTCAACTCAGGTCTTGAGTGGCAAGGACCTTTACCCACTGAGCCATCTCACCAGCCTTCAGTCATTTAATTTTAAGGAGCTAGTTTTATTTTTTTTAAAAGACAAGGTCTCCCTATATATAGCCTCATATGGCTGGAGCTTGCTGTGTAGACTAGGCTGCCTCTGCGTCTGCCTCCCAAGTGCTGGGATTAAAGGTATGTCCCACCATGTCTGGTAGAACTAGTATTTTGTAATCGACTACGAAAAAAATAGTATTCTATTTTACCCCCCACCCCCAACTGGTCTATAACGCCAGCTGAGTATATTGCAACTTGGTGCTGGTATAAACCACCCCAAGAACAAGATTATGAATCAAGGCTTCAGTCCTTCACAGACTGCCCTCATTTCATATACCAGTGGCAGGTAGTAGGCCAGGCCACCTACACTGCTGGCTCACTGACTACAAATCCAGGGATTCCATTAGAATAACATAGAACGCAGGAAAGTACTGTACTTATGATTGTAGTTTTATTAAAAAGGATGTCTATTAGAAAGTGGGTGCGGTGGCTTATGCCTGTTGCTCAGCGGGCCGGAGGATCAGAAATTTAAAGTCATCCTCATCGGCATAGCAAGTTTGAGTCCAGTCTGAGACACCTGAGACAGCAGCGCTTTCATGCTGTCTCTCTGTGGAGCAGGGAATGCTACTTTACTGTCCCTGTTTCTTTCCCAGCACATCCAGGTGCTCCCCAGCCAGGAAACTCCAGCAGGCTTCTGTGTCCGGGGGTTTTATTGGGTTTTATTATGTAGGTATGCTCCATAAATCACTGGCCACAAGACTGAATTCAAACTCCAGCTTTTCTCTTCTCTGCAGAGGTTAAGCTGGCTCAAGTCTCACCGTGATTCCATATGTTGGTCTGTTTGGTTATCAGTCTCCAGTCTTGAAAATCACAAAAGGAGCAGGGTGTTGTGCACACCTGTATTCCCAGCACTCAGGAGGTGGGGCAGGAGGATGAAGAGTTTGATGCCAGCCTGGGCTACAATGAGGAACCTGTTTAGGAGGAGGGGTGTTAGGGGAGGGAAGAGCTGGAGACAAGAGACCAAGAGACAGAGTATGAGGCTAGGGGCTCTGCTTCAGTCATTTACTAGCATAACAAAACCACTCCTAACATTTAGGAAATCCCAATGGTTTTAGAAGCTCTGTACCTAGAAACCAGGACAAAGGCTGAGCAAACTTATTGTTGTGACCTGAGTCTTCTATAGTCTAGGCTGACCTGGAACTCACTATGTAGCCGAGGATAACTTTGAACTCCTAATCCACCTGCCTCCACCTGCCAAGTGTTGGGATTACAAGTATATGCCACCATGCCTAGCTAGACCAGGCAGTGTTTAATATACCACATTCAGTATCTTGAGGTAAGGTTTCTTCCCCCCTCCCCCCTCCCCCTCCCCCCCTTTGTTTTTAAAACTCCATTCAAATGTCTTATTCAAGGTTGAAACTTCTTAGTAAAAGTTTGCCTGTGGGTTGTAAAAAGAGTATTCACATAGTTTCTCTAATACTGGACCAAGACACCTTCAACAAAAATTGCATTTGCTACCTCACATCTTGCAACTAATTATTTTGTATTTAGGTATTCCCAGTTCCAAGATGAATACAGTTTAGACGAAATAATGAAATCTCGAACTGTTTTCGATTTTCTGAGTGTCTTACAATGTTGGTAAGAAAAATATTTTAACATTTAATAAATAGACATAACTTTCTACCCCCTTGCACTGCCCACCCCTCTGTGGTTAAACCTTAGACTTTCTCGGGGTGTAACTTTTATAGAACTACCAATGTGGTCCTCACAAACCATCTCTTGTTGTGGAAAAATATGTTTTATTTCTTCATTTGCTAGTAACTTCCACTTTAGTTGTTTTGTTTATTCATTAAAATGTGGTTTAAGAGGCCAGTGGAGTCCAAAGGTTTTTTTTCTTGGAGCATTTTGTTTTCCCTGTAGTCTTCTAATTTGGAAAGTTTTATTCAGTAATAGTAGCTATGAACAGAAATAAAAGGAATTAGCTCTAATGATGCCAATAGTTGCATCTTGCAAATTGCCTGACACCACTCTTCGTAGAAATTTGTCTGAGACTTTGTAGTCCTGAGTATACTCCTGTCTGGGCCTTGGAGTTACTGCCTTCCATATAGGTGAACAAGTTGTGTCAGCTGTTACCTGTTTAAGTCTGAGGGTCAGCCCACTGAGAAAGTCCTTCTCAACTCACCAAGGGTCTTGTGTTTGCATCACAGCTTTACAGCTTGCTCTGAGGGAGAGGTCTATGTTGAGGGGAGACCTCAAGGGTCTTACCTCTGAATTTTTTAGTACCCCCTGTTCTATCCTGTCCCAGTTTCCAAAAGGATTTCAGATGGAGCTATCGGAAATATAGCAAAGTTGGAGCTATGTGTGCCTGTAGTAGAATATTGTACTAAGATAGGAAATAGCCTTTGGACTCACTCCTCAGAAAGTGACCAGAAATTGCCTCATGCATCTGCAGAGGCAAATCCAGGAGCTTTTGAAGGAACTCTAGAGACTGAGCAGTGACTGACATTTGAGGTCTTGCTAGAGGCTCAGCACCTCAGTGGGATGCATGTACAATTTATTTTTTCAAATATAACTCATTTTTATTTTTTGATTTTTTTGTGTGTATTTCATGCAGAACATCCCAAACAATCTTATTTATCTTTATACACGAACCCCCACTGGAACCCATACACTCTGTCATCCCTGTTACTGTTCACTGTGTTATCACAGCTGTTCCCCAGTGCTAGTCCATCCACTGAGTCTAGTCACCCTGTCTAGAGTTCCTTGTTTTAGGAAGATCAGATCTATCTTCCTCATCTAGCAGCAATCAGTTGCCAACATTCCTTTAGATAAGATTGGGGTCTGCTGTTCATTTTCCCAGTTCTATGCTGGGTTACTGTCTGGGAGTCTCTTGGGCCACCCTCGCCATCAACTTGAAGGAAGGTATCTCTTGACTGGCATTTTTTCTTGTTATGTAGCTTTTGGTTATACACATGGACTCTTAAAGAATTACATTGATCCCTTCGATCTTTGGTTATACTTTCCTTTTGGGTGTTTAAGACCATACAGTTAGTTGGCCCAGATAAACCAATTTATTTTTACTCTTAAGGTTGTTTGAGGATCTGTTCCTCAGGGGTCACATGGGCTTGGGAGGAGCCCCTGTCATCCTACCATGACATTCTTCACATGTACAATTTTTAGTATGAATATCACAAAGAAGACAGTGCATTGGCCAGCAAGCATGCTTGGCTTTTCTTCTCAGAGTTTCCAGTCTGAAACCCTAGGATTGAGGTGGTGTTAGGGGTGAGTCATTACTTTCACTTCCTCTTAGTCCCACTTCAGATGGTGCTGCTGCAGCAATTTTGGCTAGTGAAGAATTCGTACGGAAATATGGCCTACAATCCAAAGCTGTGGAAATTGTGGCACAGGAGATGATGACTGACTTGCCAAGCACATTTGAAGAAAAAAGCATCATTAAAATGGTATATCTGAGATTAGATTTTTTAAAAAAAATTCAAAGTAAGGAAATGCTACTTTAAATGTCAACATGACATTATATTGTTATTAGCTCTGGAAGGTACTTATACAAAGTTGGTCTAGAGGTTTTAATATTGTAATCTATCCTTAAGAATCTGTATAAGAGCTCTTTGTGGTACACTCTTGTAATCCCAGCTCCTGGGAGGTAGAGGCAGGAGGATTAGGAATTCAAGGCCAGCCTAAGCTAGGTACCTAACCAGATACTTATGATAGACCCATGGATGTGATCATTTTAATTTACTAGGCATACATTTATTTTTATACTGACTAAATGTGCCTGGAACTCCAGTGTCACAAAGTTAAAGGAAAAATGAGGATATTTTCCTTGAGATGGAATCTTTCTTGTTAGTCTTTATTATACTGGCCTTGAACTCTTGGCTCATTTGGTCTTCCTGCCTCAGCCTTCTTGGTAGCTGGGACTACAGGCATATACTACCACACCCAGCTCTAAAGCATGTCTTTTGTTGTTTTTTTTTTTTTCTTTGAGACTGGATCTCCTGTAGCCCAACTGGCCTGGAATTCACTGTGCACTATGTAGTCCAGGCTGGCCTTAAACTCACAAAGATCTGCCTGCCTCTGCCCCCAAAGTGCTGGGATTAAAGGTGTACATGCATCACCATACCCAGCTCTAGAAGCATGTTCTTTACTTCTAATACTTCAGGAATCCTGGTTAAAGATTTTCTGGAAAATGGGGCCTGGAGAGATGGCTCAGTGGTTAAGAGAGCTTAACACTCTTCCAGAGGACCCAGGTTTGGTTCCTAGCACCCAGCATCAGGCAGTTCACAGCCACTAGTAACTTCAGCTCCAGGGGGTCAGGCACCCTCTTCTGGCTTCCATGGGCACCTGCACTCATGTGCATACACACATACAGACATGCATACACATTTTTAAGGTTTTATAGAAAATAGAGAAAATACAAAAGGGAAGTTTAGAGACCTAAAGTGAGGTGAACAGTTGAAGATGCCTCTCCCACACAGAAACAATTGTATGTAAATTACAATTTATGAAATAATTTTACAACATGCTGCAGATTTGAAAATGTCCTCATAACTTAACCAGTGGTATGAATTAGACTTGACATATCCCCTACAAACTCATGTATTAGAGACTTGATCCCTGATCCAGCCATCTCCTGAGGTGAGGTCTTTGGCAGCTTAATGGATCATGGTGAGCCTGATCTCATCATAGGATTAGTCCGTCGATGGATTCATAGCTTAATAGGTTTCAGGTGAGGGGCTTTGTTATAAAAGCTAGTTCTCAGTCTGCTTCCTGGCCTTCATGAGGGAAACAGCTTTGCTCTACCCTATGTTCTCTGCTATTTTTTGCCTTGCAATGAGCCTAAAGTGAGAGTGTCAGGTGACCACAGATTGAAACCTCTGAAACCATGAACCAAAATAGTTCTTTACAGTGGGGCATTGATGGCACACACCTGTAATCTCAGCACTTGAGAGGTAGAGGCAGGAGGCATCCTCAGCTACACAGTGGGTTTGAGGCTAGTCTGGGCTATATGAGATGCTACCTTAAACAAAAAACAACAACAACAAAAACCACCTATGGAAGCACAAAAGACCCCAGATAGCCAAAGCAACCCTGAACACAAAGAGCAACGCTAGGGGATTACTATACCAGATCTCAAAGTATACTACAGAGCTATAGTCATAAAAGCAGCATGCTACTGGCACAAAAATAGACACATACATCAATAGAACATCATTGAAGACCCAAACCTGACTACATGCAATTTCAGCCACCTGATACTTGACAAAGTGCCAAGAACACACAGTGGAGGAAAGATAGCATCTTCAACAAATGGTGCTGGCAAACCTGGATCTCCAGCTGTAGAATGATACTAGATCCTTATCTTTCACCTTGCACAAAAGTCAACTCCAAATGGATTAAAGACCTCAGTGTGAAACTGGAAACCCTGAAGCTATTAGAAGAAAATATTGGCAATAACTTACAGGATATAGGTGTA